ATTTGAACCGTAAAGTACCGCAAACGATCATATACGACACGTTTACGGTACGGAGAAAATACGGACCGTAAAACTGTTCCCTATCATACGGTGAAATACGTTCCGTTTACTGCTAGTATTCTGACCGGCCGTAAATACACCTTTTTTCATCGTTAACTACCGTGAAACGGCGCGTAAACGGTATTCGTTTTGACCGACCTGGGTAATTATAAGTGCTGAAAACTGTCACGACTAGAGCTGAAAAGAAGTGTAAAACTGGCGAAAAAAAGTTTTCAGCATTTTGGTCTCGGTTTATAATATGTTTGTAAAAAAATTCAAAACAATTCTTCCATCGGATCATGCTAAAAAGTCGACGACGTTACATCTGAAATTTTCCGTAATTTGTATTTCTAATTACGAATTCTCAAGCATTTAACTTGAACTGGAAAAAAATCAAAGCTCCGAAAAAAGTCCCAAGGTACTCTGTTTGTTCAGTTTGTGATGTTGATTCCGAATATTACCTTGGTTTTATGAAAAAGTACAGTTTTTATGGTAAAATACTGCTGTTTTTCGCTTATTTTCCGGCATTTTTGCCACATATGCAGGTTTTGGGATCTTTTCTTCAACGCAGTTTCTAGTCGCTTTCGACTCTACTAAGAACTGTTTGTGATCGAGCTTTGTTGATGGCCAGAAAATAGCAATAAGGACGTGAGAAAGCATTTTCCGTAGTATTTGACCTATATTTCGCCAAAAAAGTATCTTCATTCACAGTTTTATGCATCAGTATTGTAGATCTCCTCAAGAACTATCGATTGTACTATAGTATGTCTATAATTTAGCCTAATTGATCCACAAAATGTTACGTATTAGTAGAGTTACGATTTTTCACCATCTCGTTTCGATGGTGACTTATTTTCAAGACAACCAACAGATATTAGTCAAAGATTCTTATGTGTTCTTACTCAACTTGATCAGCTCTACCATTTTGCAAACAAAAGTTTTCCCAAAAATGTTTTGTTTCTGAGATAATCGCCATTTCTGAGACTAAATGTGGTATTAAACTGAACAAATGTTGTTCAGGCTGCTGTTCCAACAGTAAACTTTTTCAACTAAGAAGTGGTAGGAAATACACAGGAATGATAGTGCTATCGTTTTATATTCATATCAACGTCAAGAAAAAAATAAAGTTCATGAAGAGTGGCGGAAAAGTGCCTTCTCCTATTTAGCACACTCGTTAAACTTCCGACAATACGTCTTGCCAAGAATAGAAAATCTTCTGAGCTATCGAGTGTGCTGAATACGAAAAAGCACTTTTCCACTCCTCTGCATGAACTTTGTTTTTCTGTCGATGTTATGGAAATCTCGAGGAGTTTGATTACACTATATATTGGCTCCCGTCCTTTTCTTAGAAAAATCTTTTTTTCTCTTATGACATTTCGTACTCTACAGAAATCTTCGTAACGAGACATAGAAAAGTAATAAAGTTTTTCAATTGAAGTTAATCCACAGCGCTTCAACGTGCAGGAGTCGGAGTTTTGACTTTCGATCCAGTTGTGAATAAAATTTTCATTAGCTTTGGCATATTTAATATTCCTTGATATTTTAGTCGAGATAAGAGTTAGTTAGATGAAGTGCGACTTTCAAAGAAGCTTACTTTCACAAAATAAAGATCGTAGACACAGTAAGAATGCCCTATACAAATTCCATCCATTAGAGATAAACAAATGTAAATGAGGAACTATATCGCTCAATAGAGATATCTTGCACTCGTGCGTATTTTGAAATTTTTACTTGATTTTAATTTTTTGGTGAAATCTCAATAATTTTTCAACCTGAAAATTCAACAAAAACGAAAGTAGTCGGATAGGGTAGAAATATATATTAGTCAACTCAGTTTTTAATTCTGATTCCAAATATGATATTTTTATTGCATAAAAAGTGAGCTCTAATGGATAAAATTGAGAATTACAAGCAGAATTCTGGCTTTGCATAAACATTTCTAATGTCAAGGTGCCCTAGGACACCTTTCTATATTATATATATCAAATTGTAGTTCGATAAATTCTCTATCGAATGGTATATTTATTATAGTAGCCGAATGAGAAATGTTGACATAGAATATCTGAGACTTTTTGCACGTAGAAGATTATTTTCCATAGTCAGAAGTATTTCTAAACATACTTGGCCTCAGAACGACTATTTCCGTATATGCGATATACAGAAATATAGCGAAGAAAAAGAGCTTTCGAATAATATATAATAGTTGTAAGGAATTATGAAACTGTGAGAGAAAGATCCAAAAATACGATCTATAATATGTATCAGATGCCGTGGAAACTTAATCAAATTTGATTCTACCAATTTTTTTCTGAGAGTGGCTCTAAAGTCTAGCAAGTACCTAGAAATATTCCCCTCTTCATTTTGCATCTAATCTTTGATTAGTCGATGAAATTCAGGCATGAGCCTATTTCATCAGATAATCGCCCCCGTCCTTTTTGATATCCTGATCGGGATATAAAAACTTTTTGCTGTAAAAAAGATATACCGATCGGGATATGTCTCCACACTGCATGATATCATTGAGTTTGCTCAATCAAATACCGATAAAAACTAGTATATACAGATAACGAGGAGAATGACATATTCATTTGAGTACGAGAATAGATTAGGGATTCTGAGAAGAAAGTTTAAACAAGCCGTTCTAAGAGTCTATTGCAATTGATGACAGTATGTCCAGCAAAAATGTGATAACAAATGGAATAGTGCAAGTTAATTAAATTCATTTCTAAAACGGTTTCTTCTCACAGATCTGTTCATTTACATTATTAACGGAGAAAAACAATTCTTTTTTTTGAAACTTATCATTTGGTGGATGAAAAAGAAAATTCTGAACTAAAACAAAGGAACCCAATAAACATATCACAAAACCATGGCGTGGAAATTCTTAATGAAAAAAAAATCAATAAGATGATGATCTCTCATTTCATCTTTATTATTTATTTTAAATATCTTTTTGTCTTCAATATTTTCTTATTCGAAATTTTACTTTTCTACTAAATTTAATACATTCGTATGTTTAACCTTCGCCCTTTCTGAGTGGAAGTGTGTATCAGTATAAGTGAGTTAAGAAACTTGGAGCTATTTATATATCTTTGATTATACGCTCAATCAAACATATATAATGACAAATATTCTTTATTTCATATTTTTTTAACCGTTGTTTCACACTTTAGATGATTGCTCAGTTTTTCTTTCTCTTTTAAAATAACACATTTAACTGAAAAAACAATGTAGCTACTTGAAATTTATTATTGTTGAAAAGTATATTTCTCTTATTTGTTTACATACACGTTTATCACATACATATTCAAAACACTTTAAATAATAATGTATATATGTATATATAGGAGTAAAAAAACAACTTTCTTTTTTTCTCAACAAGTGTGAGCAACTATTCTTTACATATATAGGGACAAAATAAATTATATTAAATCTGTTTGACTCTGCAAGGTTCTATTTTGTTTCTCAAAAAAAAAAGTGTTGGAAGCATGTTTATTCAAGTTTTGTGGTAAGTTAAGGATGAGTGGAATGAGTGGACTATTTGTGATCGAATAACTAGATACTCTTATGACGGACAAAAACTAAATTTTCTTTCGTTTGGTTTACTATTTAAATATCTCAACTTATAAAAGGAGATTTGAAAGTAGAAAATATTTACAGATGAAAAATTTTACTGATGAAAATTTCTTCTAATGATGTTATGAATAGGGAAAGTCAAAATATTTTCTAGAGTACAGTATAAAAATAAAATGTATTTTGTTTATAATAATCTAGACGAGATAAAAAAAAAAAGTCATGTTTCTTTATAGCGCACAATAACTATCGCATAGACTTCAAGATAAATGAAGATTTTGTATTTTGTGCGAGAAACCTATTGTAATAGTTTTTCTTTCGTATCTCAGACCTTGAAAGACTAATACATGAGTGAGATTTCTTAAAAGAGTCAAAAATTTTTACTGCTCAAACATGCCTAATAATTTATACAGAACAGTTGTCTAGAAAAAATTTTTATAAATAAATTTCTGATATTTTCTTCATCAATTCAAGATATTAGCAGATGATCAAGTCATCTTCATCCAAAGTTCAATTTATTGCTAATATTATTGATTAGAAAATATTTGTAGCAAAGTTTTCAACCAACTAAAGAATAATAATGAGAAAACAAACTCATTTTTTGTAAGTCTGCTAAAAAAAGCGAGGCTTTTAGTAACTTTTCCAACACTCTTCAAGAAATGCATTGAAAATTTGCTCATCAATTATCTCATTTCTATTGCTTTTTTATTTCTACATTTATGCAGGCGTGTAGTGATGATAATTCATTGACCTTCCTTCTGTTGTTGTTTCTATACACACAATGTCTCATCTTATTTTTTCAATGGTGCATTAGTAGCGTTTCAAGTATTTTTACAAAAGTATAATGACGCATTTCATCTTTTTAGATATATATATATATATATATATGTATAGCAGTAACGGTAGGACAAATAACAATAAAAAACGTTTTTCTCTTATTGTTCTATATTTTTTCAGTTTAACTAAATAAAAAAACTGAATCATAGTATCGACACTTGAAAAAAAGAATTTTTTTTTATTTTATTTCTCTTAATGTTTCTGTTGTTATAACTGTATTTCTTTACTTTTATGTTCTACAATACATATTCGAACAAAACTGTTCACTTTTCTTTATAGAATATTTTGATTTATATACAAAAAATTAATTTTTTACATTATGCGTTTAAAAACTCTACGTCGTCCACGTCCCGCATTTGAAACTGAAGGTGCATGTATTAGTGGAAATAAAATTGATCTTACCAATGATATTAAAACAAAATATTCTCATACGGTACATCATACAGATTCAATAATAATAAATAATAATAATGATAGTTCTCGACAAACAACAAATCGTTCACCAAAAAATTTAGAACAAATACGACAAACATTTTCAGCATCAACTAATACTACTCCACTCGCATCTTATCAAGCTATTGAAGCAGCATATCTTGAACATGGAATTCGAATACATATTTTAAAAAATGATAAATATGGTTCATCTACAATAAAAACAGCTAATGAAAATACATCATCTGTATTAACAACAAATTCAAAACCTATTGTTCGTCATAAAGCATTTTTATATAAAAAACAACCATATAATTCCCAACAACGATCAACAAGTGTTTTACAATATTCAACAAATGATAATGGTATAGCAAAACTAGAATCAAGTCATACAAGACCATTTAGTGAATTACAAACAACAACATCGACAATGACAGATGATTTTGATAAAAGTCATATATTAAACGTATCATACGCTATTGATCAACAACCACCATTAGAAAAAATATATGGTATTCATTCATCATCCTTTGTTGCTAGTGAAAATTTAGATATAGCTGAAAATATTCGAAGTACACTCACATTAACAGGCACCGCACAATTATCATCTCAATTAGATGAAGAAATAGATAATGTATCTAAAAATCTTCAAGAAACATATTCAGAGAAAAATTTTAAATATAATGAAGATATTGTTCAATCATTGCAACCATTTCAACAAGAACAAGTAAATGTTGAAGAAAATATTAAAGAAGAAGATCCGGATCTAGTCTATATGTATGATCTATTGAAAAAAAATACAGGAGATATTTTTACTGGTATGTATAAATATTCAAACATGTTATTGTTATATCAACAAAGATATAATTTAACAGCATCCTCTGTTTTTCTAACAGTTTTTTGATTTTTAAGCTAGATATATTTCGTTCTTTTAGTTAGTAGGACGTCTTAGTATCAACTCGAGATTCAGACAGGTATATCTGACGAAAAATATCACATAGAGGTTTTATTTAAATCTGAAAATTATGATTTGAAGAAAATAATGTTTCAACTATAGACATCTATTCATACAAAACATTGTCCTATTAACCTTTATGATCTTCCTGTGAATATGTGTTGTATATTGATTTTCTTTTAAATGAAGTTCCCTTCGAGCTATAAATCTTTTTTTTTTTCTTCTATTTTAAAAAAATAATGAACAGAAGTTTTTCGGAAAAAAGAAATGTTTTTTTTTTTCTGTTCAATATTTTCTTCATTTAAGAAATAATTTGATTCTGTTCTTGCTTGAAGTGTTAATGAAACATTATGTGTAATAAAGCGCATGTTTACTTTTGTATAGACAGTATTCGTCGTCGAGCCGGTCTTCGTAATACGTTTGCTGTACATCGTCGATCATCTCGAGATGAATCAGATAATAACAAAGTTCATTTAAATAAGCATTTTATTTCACGAACAAATACTGAAATTACTCCACGATCATCACTATCAAAATTTCGTATATCAAATAATTATGATGATCATGATTATCAACAAAATATGAATATACAAAATAAATCAACGACAACTGTAACACAAAAAAAAATTGAAAAAGATATTGTTAAACATGCATCACGAATAAAAACAACACAATCGAAAGATTATTATTCATTAGGTAGTAATCAAAATAGTCAAAATCGTCTACTATCGTCGCATACAAATAGTACCAGTAATATTCAAATGAATTTTAATCAACAACAAAATAATAAATACAAAACAAGATTACAACATCAGTTAACATCAGTCAGTTTAGTAAGTATAACTATATCTATATACACTAGGGCCTCGTATTAGAGATGTGCAACCCGATCCGAAGATTAGGTACGGGTACGAAGTTGTCGGATACGGATAGAGCGGTTACGGGTACAGGTTTCGTTTTTGTTTAATTTATCCGAAAATCGTAAACTTTTAGTGGAAAACTCACAAAATTTTATTGAAAAAATATAAAAATTTTAGTTAAAATACATGAAGTTTTAAAAAAGAGTTGAGAGCGTAATGATAATTTGACATCTCCCAGGCGAAAAACAAAACTTTTTAGTTGGAAACCGAAAAAGCGATAATTTTTAGGCATAAATCAGGTACGAGTCGGGTAAGGGTACAAAATTCTCGGATCGGATCGGGTACGCGTGGAAAAAAACATTTTCGGGTCGAGTACGGGTACGAAAACGGTACCCGTGCACATCTCTACCTCGGATGGACTCAAAATTTTGAGACCATTCCACATCGAGTCCATTTAGAATTTTTTTTCCAGTTCTTTGTATTGGAACGTTGGAATCCAGTTCAGTCTACAAAAAAAATCGTTCAGATATAGTGTTCACAGTTTTAGACTGATACTAGTCTTAGAAGTCGTCCTCGTCTTTAGCGTAGCATTTAACGGTCTGCGAACTAACCGTTACAGATAACGTTGTGTAGAGGCGTGGCGTATACAGTCGAAAAATGACATTTAGATGCACTCACTCATTCATGAATCCCCCTGAACTTCAGGAACCGCAGTCACTTTAATGATACAAAAACAGTATGAATCCAATACAGTTTTAACTGCGCTGAGAAAAGGATTCGTGTACTTATTTATCAATTTTGGATCTTTTAGATGATGCACTCGCACATTACTACTGTAGATACAAATCCATTTCTTAAATCTTTAGTTACTATGTGATAAGCTAAGATGATATCAGAGTGAAAGCTTTTAGTGCACTATATCTTAAATTCAATTACTATTCTATAGCCATTGTCGCATTAGTAGATGTTTAAGTACGTGATTATCCTCATAAACATTTATTGAACGATTAAGTCGAAATGTATCATCGATCAATCATTAGAAAGTCTAAAATTAATTTCGTTATTTTCTATTTTTTGTGTTTCGGTTAATATGACCAAAATTAACAATCAAGTACGCCAAAGGGACAAATAAAATAAATTATATATACTTACATATCACCAGTTTAGGTTAATTTTATCAAATTTGT